CAAGGGGAGTCCCTCTGCACCTCCAGGCCGTTTTGGACATGCCGTAATCTATCATGCCACCTCTAACAAGAGACTGCACACAGGCTTCCTAGCTGTTGAAGCTCATATCACACATGGAGGTTCACACATAGAATGTTTCTTCCTGCTCCATGAGAGAGCAGGGACCTCCCATTTCCCCACTTCTCCGGGGTGGTGGAGTCACTTTATTGCCAAAAGCAGCACCGATGCCAAATACCAGCCATGTGTTCCTAACGGCTTCTGATTACCGCGTAAGTCAACTGCTGAAGCAGGCAGGGGGCTGGGAAAGACGGGCTCTGGAGGGCGAGGGGCAGAAGCCAAGTTACCACATGCTGTTGGGAGCGTCATACTCTCAAGGCTGGGTTCTGCTGGGAGGACTTGAGAACGGAGAGAAAATGTCCAGGGAGAATTTGAAATGGAGAGAATGCTGACCGGGACATTCCCAGGCGGTGAGGCTGACGGAGGGGGCACGTCCCAGATGGAGCCTGGGCCCATTTCCATCCACAGCTGAGCAGCATCCCCCTCCCCCACCCCACATGGCCCACTGGATCCAGCAGAGACCAGCTGAGGACCTCCAGTTTGAAACTAGAGGGCAGGGGCTTAACTGAACCCCTATATACTGAAGGAAAGACCTGACTGCCAGTTTCTAGGAGACAGTCCATGGGGTGAATCGGGGAAGAAACTGCCCCCCCCCATTTTAGAGCCTCAGCAAGCCTCCCCCACAGCCATCGACACACCCTGGGCTCAAATGCAGCACAGAGTAGGGAGGAGCACAAGACTGGAGTAGAGACCTTTGCCTCCCATCCCTGCCCTGCAGCTAACTCACATAGGACCTGTGTGGCCCATGGCACGCACCTCAGCTTCGCCTGTGAACACACACTGGAAGCTGAGGGTGTTCTGAAGCTAGGAGGACCATTACAGGACACTGGTCCGTGGACCCATCCTCAGGGTCCTCCCCTCTGCTGAGCACGTCCTAGGATCCGGCCCAGCCCTGTGTGTGTAGCCCCTGAGGACTTCCAAACACTGCCCCTTAGAGGAGCACAGCTCCAGCCTGGCAGCTGGGGACGTGAGCGGTGAGAGGCAGAGCACAGCTCCTTCCAGTATCTACATCCCCGTCTTCCGCCTGTCGCCCAGAAGGAGCTTTCGGCTCCTTCACCTCTTTCACAGAACTGGCTCTATGCGTGTCCACTGAGCAGAGCCGACCCCTCCATCCATTCTGATCACAGGTATCTTCACAGTGCAGAGACAGTGGGACGTTTCACACACAGCTCAGAGAGACAACGCAGAAACCCTCCTCCCTCGCGCATGTGTAGAACTGGCCGAAGCCCCCTCGAGCATGTGTAGATCTAGTCTTCTGCGGGAAGCATCTGGACCGTCTCGGGCAGCTTAGCCCACCATGATCTCAGGCAGAACACAAGCCCAAGCCTGTCCAGAATGAGATATGCAGAGGACCTGGAGGAAGGACTGCCCTTCTTGCTAACAAAGGGAACATGAAAGTCTCCAAAGGCTGCCATCCTCAAACCTCAGGACCACGAGAAATCAAAGCAGACAGACTTTCTACTTCCTGGTCACTAGAGAGCCCTTTTGTTACGAAACGCCAACAGTTGAGGTTTAAACCTTCTGTTTCTTCATTTCTTTAAAGTTCTATTTTTTACTTGCCGGGGGGGGGGGCTATGCCATATGTGTGGGTACCACACAGGACAGAAGGGGATATCGGATCCCCTGGCTCTCCTTACACTTTATAAAGTCACAAAGGGCTCTGTGGATGATTGTGGTGTGAGAGCAGAGTCAAAGCCAGTCTGGGGTTGATCCCCCCCACACACACACATACACAGTCATAAACACACATACACACACAGTCATAAACACACACATACACACAGTCATAAACACACACATACACACACAGTCATAAACACACACACACAGTCATAAACACACACAGAGTCATACTGTCAAGACAAAGGAGAGCACATGTCAGGGCTTGCACATGTGGCTTTTCTGGGAGAGCATCTGTACAGCAAGCACCAAGCCCTAGGTTCCATCTCCAGTACTGCATAAAGAAGAAGCAACGTGTACACCCCAATACTAGGGAAGTAGAGACAGGAGGTTCAAAACTTCAAGGTCATTCTCAGACACGTATGGAACTCGGAACTCGATGCCAGCCCAGAATAAGGAAAACTCTATCTCAAAATGAAAGAAAAAGCCAGGTGCTCATGCCTTTAATCCCAGCACTCAAGAGGTAGAGGCAGGTGGATCTCTGTGAGTTCAAGGCCAAGCTGGTCTACATAGTGAGTTCCAAGCCAGCCAGAGCTTCATAATGAAACCCTGTCAGGAGAGAGGAGAAAGAGAGAGAGAGAGAGAGAGAGAGAGAGAGAGAGAGAGAGAGAGAGAGAGAGAGAGAGAGGAAAAAGGAGGAGGAGGAAAAATATCTATACACAAAAAAGTACAATACATCATTCCATTATGATGAGATGTGTTACACATGTCACTGCCCATAATATATCATTCCCTTATTATGAGACGTGTTTAACACACTGATGTCTCTGTAAAAATAGACAAGTAAACCCAGAAAGACTCAACAGAAAATATAGAGCTGTCGTTGGCTGGGGACTGACTGCCAAGACTGTGAGCTTTCCTTCTGTGGCCCTGTTGCAATGGCAACCACGGACCAGTCTATTCAACCCATGCACCAGGCAGTATATGAATCACATCTCTGTAAGCTTGGTTACAACAGAGCAAGGCCCTGGTATGGCCCAGGCACCATGTCGTTCCAGCCATAAGTACTATCTTCTCAGAGCTATGGAACATCCAGAGACTGTGGGACACACCCAGCAGTCTGCAAGGGAGCCTGAGGTTCTGAGGCAGGAGACCCCTTTGGTAGCTGTCGGCCTTGGCTGTGCCCTGGACTCACTCAGGCAAATTTTAAAACCTAGACTCATACACTGATCACAAGCAAACCAAGATGGAAAGGGACCTCAACCACCAGAGGCTAAAAGCTCCCCACTCACCTCTGTGAGGCAATATTATATAGGCCACATATTTCTGCATTGTATTGGTGGCCAGGCCCTCAAGCCACAGTCGCGCCTTAGGTGGTCACGAAGCACTTACAGAACTTGTCCTAGGGGCCAGGAAGATGAATCAGATGGGAAGGTACCCACATACAAGCGTGAAGTCCTGAGTTTGAAACCCCAGAACCCAAAGAAAGCCACATATAGTAGCTCTTGCCTATAATTCCAGCATTCCTACAGCTGGATGGAGGATAGGGACAGGAGAATCCTTCAAAGCGCAGGGCCATCCAGCAAGCAAAAGACCCCACCTCAAAATAAGGTGGAAGGATCCAGAAGGGTGGCTTGACCAGGAAAAACATTTGCTATATAAGCCTGATGATCCAACTTCAATGCCCAGATCCCACATAAAGGTGGAAGGAGAGAACCTCTGACCCTCACAACCTCGCCATGACACACCCCTCTCCCATCATACACACACTAAGAGTAAATAAAACTACTTAAAAAAAAAAAAAACAAACAGGATCTGGACAAGATGTCTGAGCAGGTAAACACAACAACTTGCATGTGATTCCCATGAAACTTAGAAAATAGTTCTTTATCCTCCACATGTGCATGGCATGTACACACACACACACACACACACACACACATTTTCTTTTGCAGTTCAGAGACAGAGTACCCATAGTGAGGCCCTGGGTTCAGCAGGAGGTGATGGAGAGGATTTACCCTAACTTAGCTCCCTGGGACCACCTGGTGGCCAGACTTGTGAATAACTGCTTCTAGCTTCTGGCCCCTGCAGGGACCCTGGGATGGGGCTCTTGATCCACGGTCTCCTCCCCAAGAGTGGCTGGCAAGCAACCTCTTAGTCTGAACTTTTCCCCAGGCTTACCCCACACGCCTAACCTTCCTCCACACAGGGGCTGACCCTCTGACCCAGTCAGGGTCTAACCCCCGTGGCTCCAAATCAAGGCTGTTCTGGATCATTCTGGTCTTGAGCTCCCAGCTTGAGTCTGAACAAGTGGCCAGACAGACCCAGGCATAAGCTGCCCTGAAATCACCCAGACGTGGCATATGCTGCCACCTCTTGGTACCATGCGGCACTGCACCTACCCAGCTTCCAGGCTGAGAAGCAGGGATCCCTGGCCACGTGACCAACCCAGTTCCCATCACCTGCCCAGCCCTCAAGTCCTATGACAGGAAGAGAAGGGGGACCAAGACAGACTGGAGGGCATATTCTTTCTAAATATTGAAAGCCCCAGATTCACACATTAAATCTCTACCACTCTAAAGACGCTATCTTTACTACTTATTGAGTTATTAAAAAATAATTTGGGAGGACTGGCAATACGGCTCAGAGGGTAAAAGTGACTGCCACCAAGGCTGACCACCTCAATCCTTTCTCCAGGGCCCCACACAGTGGAAGGAGAGAACCAGCTCCTACAAGGCCTCGCCGACCCCCACACTCATGCTGTGGGCACACAAGTGAAATATGTAAAATAAAACAATATTTAACTGAGTAGATTAAAAAAGAAAACTAAATGGGGACCAGACCCATACCCCAGGCAGTGTAGACACACCTGTCCTGGGGTATAGCAGCCACACCGTGCAGTACGGAACACTGTCCCTGCCGACCGTCAGTCACATTGCCACCTACCTGCCTGATTCTGCTTGGCCTCTGGGACCCCTGGATCACACACTACAATTGTGTCCCACCCCACAGGGGTCTCAAGTGTTCCTCTTTACTTGGCCCCTCACAGCAGGCTTCTAACATGTATGTTAGCCCAGATCAAGTGGGAGCAGCTTGGGGCTGCTGACATTTGTGTTTCCAGGTCCACACTCCCTTCTAGGAGGTGGGAAGTGACCAAAGAGGGGGTGGGCACTGGACCTGCACCACCAACCTCATCCTCACCCCCATCGCGTGAGCCAACAGCCCATCCTGCAGAGCCAGGAGCCTAGCGGGATGGGGCTCACCTGTCTGTAGGTGCAGATAATGATCTCCCGAAGGTGGTAGTGCATCGGCGTCATGGTCTCACTGACGGTGTCCAGAGCTGCATCCACCTCCTTCTTCACATGGTGGCCGTCGGGCAGCAGTTGGACCACCTCCATCACCACCTGGGGCCAGAGGAGGGGTGAGTGGACGGAAAGCCAGGGGGATCCTCAGCCCTGCACCCTCAGGCTTGGGGCAGTAAGGGAATGTGGTATCTATCGCTCAGGTCCCACATCCGCATTTTTTCATTCATATGCAAGATTCTCTGAGCTGTTCTGAGGGTCTACACATGTACATTTCAATGCATATATTATCGCTGAGTATGTGTGATGCGTGTGAACATACGATATGAGTGCATGTGTGTACAGATGCATGGACCTGTGCACATAAGGAGGCCACTGGAGGATGCTGAGTGTCCTGCTCTCTCCACCTTATTACTTTGAGACAGGGTCTCTCACTGAACCTGGGCCTAGGCTGGCTTCCAGCAAGCCCCTCGGATGCTCTTCTCTCTGCCCCACGCAGTGCTGAGGTTACATGCACACATAGCCATGCCTGGTTTTTATGTAGGTCTGACTGTTGGAACTCAGGTCCTCACACTTGTACAATGAGCCCTTGTACCCCCTATTCTTAATGTACGTATCAAAAAGTCTAAGAAGCTTTTAAAAAAAAATCTAATAAGCCGAATGTATTCATCTTTTTTGTTCATTTCACTGACTTTCTATCCTGAAGAGAACATCAAGGGTCTGGGGAGACAGTTTATCTGGTAAAGAACCTGCTGTTCAAGGCTGAAGACCAGAGTTCTATCCCAACTGCCTACAGAGTGGCACATGTCTATATCTTTAGCGACAGCAGAGGGAAGGGAGCAGAGACAAGTAAATCCCTGGGGCTCATCAATCAGTCAGTCTAGCTGAACTGGAGAGCCCCAGGCCAGGGAGACCATGCCTCAAGTAATAATAATAATTAATAATAATAATAATTAGTAGTAGTAGTAGCAATAGTAGTAGTAGCCAATTCATGAGAGATCACACCCAAAGTTGACAAAAATAATTTTTAAAAGAGGATACCAGAGTAAAGAGAGGGCTCAGCCGTGAAGAGCTTGTACTGCTCTTGCAGAGGACCTGAGATCAGTGGCTCTCAGATGCCCCAGAACAGCCTGCAACTCCAGTTCCAGGGAACACAGCGCCCTCTTCTGGCCTCTACGAGAACCTGCACTAACATGGACAAACCCTCACAACAGGTACACATAATTAAAAATAAAACCTTCTGCCAGGTATAGTAGTGTATAACTGAAGTTCCTGCACTCAGGAGGCAGAGGCAGGCAGATCTCTGAATTCAAGACCAACCTGGTCTACAGAGTGAATTCCAGAACAGCCAGAGCTACATAGTGAGACCCTGCCCAAAACAAACACACAAAAAAACAAAACAAACAAAAAAAAAACCCCACTTTTTAAAAAGTGGGTATCAAATACTAAACCTCCACACTGTCACAGTTTAATGAAACAGACACGAATCCTCAGTCTTTCACAGCACATTAACAGGAGGCCTGGGAAAGCCAGGTTCCTACAGCATAAGACACACATGACGTTGACAAGGAGGGTCAGAGAGATGAAAGGAGAGCTGGGGAGATGATGGGAGAGCCGGAGAGCCAGTGGGAGAGACTGGGAGATGGTGGGAGAGCTGAGGAGACAGCGGAGAGTTGGAAAGATGAGAGACAATGGGGGAGCCAGGGAGACAAATGGGAGAACCGGGGAGAAGATGGAAGAGCCAGAGAGACAATGGGAGATAATGGGACAGCTGGGGAGACAATGGGAGAGTCAGTAAGATGTTGGGAGAGCTGGAGAGACGATGGGAGAGCCAGGGAGACGATGGGAAAGCTGGGGAGACAATGCCAGTAACCACAGGAAGCACTAATGGTTTGAAATACTCAGAGTCAGTCTATCAAAAGCACGGGTAAAGTTCCTTGCAAAGATTTATCTTATATCTTTATTTTTTAACTGTTAGATAAGCATTTTTACCCACTAAACCATCTAACTGCTCCAGCCCCCTGCCGGCTTTTTGAGATAGGATCTTTACATGTTCCAAGCAGTCCTCAAACTCACTATGGAGCAGAGAATGGTCTTGAACTCCTGATCCTCCTTCTACCACTCAAATGTTGGATTACAGGCATGAGCCACCACTCCCACCCAGGATATGTGATGCTGGGCTTAAGCCCAGGACTTCATACATGCTCAACAAGCACTCTGTCTTATTTGTTGCAGCGGTAAGGATCCAGTCCAGGGCCTTGAACATGACTGGCAAACACTTCACCACTGAGCTACACTTACTTATTTATTTGAAACAAGGTTTCACTGTGTAGCCCTAGCTGACCTGAAAGTTGCTATGTAGACTAGACAGGCCTGGAACCTGGTTTCTGTTAGTATATAAGAATCTAAACATTTACCATAAAAGAAAGAAGTTGTCTAAAGAGGAGCACGTCCAAAGGCCTGGAGGCACTTGTGATTGGCAGTCTGGACCTCTCTCACGCAGAGCTCAGGGCAGTAGGACCTGCCCGCAGGACAAGTGGCAAGCATGTGGTACAGTTACCAGGTAGACAGGAACTACTATAATGCCAGCCACTCAGCTATAGGTCAAGTATGCAAAACGGTATCACGGTCTGATACGACACATGGCGTGTGGCGGGTGCACAGTCTGACATGACACATGGCGTGTGGCTGGTGCACGGTCTGACATGACACATGGCGTGTGGCGGGTGCACAGTCTGACATGACACATGGCGTGTGGCGGGTGCACGGTCTGACATGACACATGGCGTGTGGCGGGTGCACGGTCTGATACGACACATGGCGTGTGGTAGGTGCATGACACACGATGACTGGATCTGAAATGTTAATGGCTGCCCGGCCTGGGGCTCTGAGCTGAAGCAAGAAGATGGACACAATAGGCTGCGGCCCTGCATGCGGCCACAACCACAGCTTAGTCTCAAGAAACTGTGAGAGCCAGGCGATGGTGGCGCACGCCTTTAATCCCAGCACTCGGGAGGCACTCGGGAGGCAGAGGCAGGCGGATCTCTGTGAGTTCGAGACCAGCCTGGTCTACAGAGCTAGTTCCAGGCCAGGCTCCAAAGCCACAGAGAAACCCTGTCTCGAAAAAAAAAAAAAAAAAAAAAAAAAAAAAAAAAAAAAAAAAAAAAGAAACTGTGAGGTAGTTATCAACAACACCATGAGGAACCCAGTGCCCTGGCCACGTAGGGAAGGATTCAGCACCCATCCACTATGGCCATTTGAAGAAGCTCAAGAAACAGACTATTCTAAGCCATAGTCTGTCCATCTGGAAAGCAGAAAGCCAGCCCCACCCCCACGACGCTGTCGACAGAAACTAAGACTCCAGTCTGCAGAGCACCCCCAGATTCCCAGGGGGCATACCCACCTGAAACTCGCCCTTGGTGAACTTGGCATCAGGCACACTCACTAGTTCCTCCTCGCCCACCTCGGGGCAGCCCTGAGGGATGACAGAGCTGGATGAAGCACCCCCCCATCTTTGACCCCTTCCCTACCCCTGGAATCCCTGCTGGGAGGATCCCAGGACTACATCAGGCATGACCTCTGCCCCTCCACCCTTGCCTGGGATGATGTCTGACCTCACCCAGAAGGCCACACCTACCCCAATGTGCCAGCAGGTCAGCACGGCCACCACCATGGCAGTCGTGGTCCGGCCCTGGCCACTAAGACAGCTGAAGACAAAGCCTGTGCCTGGGTCCTTGGTGAGAGCAGCCCGCAGGGCCTCAAGCAGTCGGTCAAAGTCCTGAAGTGACAAGATCACAGTCTGAGTCCAGGGGTGTCACTGACTGAACAGACTTACATTGGTGACCTCCATCCAAGTGGTAACTCCAGTTTTCTGGCCCCATGTGCCCCATCATACACCTAACCTTGTCCATGTTACACACAGCTCACTAGATTACACACAAGACCACATGTATGTGAAAAGCTGTATTCTTGTGTATGTGCCCATCCCAGGCACCCAGGACTGGGCATATGAGCAGATGCAACACACTTCTGGTACTCTGCCAATCCTCCACCTGACGGGTCACACACAGGTGTTTTCTGGCCTGGTACCCAGTCGCTCTGCCTGAAAACCAGGTCCTGGTCCTGCCTGAGCTCATTCGAACACTTAAGAGAGCAGCCACCAGGGGGCAGCACCTCACCGGCTGTGAGCCCACACAGAGCTGGGCAAAAGTAACAGCCCTGACACCATCACAAGGACATCCACAGGTCGCATGTGCCAGACACACACAGCCTACAGACGTACCAGCACCTGAAAGACAAACAGCACAGACAGCTGCAAACATACATCTGCCACATGAACACCACCTCAGTCACACAGCCGGATTCCACAGGGTTTTCTCCATGAGAGCCCCTCCTCACCCATGGATGCAGCATCTCCACAGCCCACAAACACAAGACAGATGCCATGAACTCCGTGGGAACCTACACCCCACACCGCCAGGGCACCGGGCATCATACACCCTCCAACAGGCACGTGAGCACACTCCCTCCCCGTAACACATGGTACACATGCCTGCAACATAGGACGCGCACACTGGCCCCACCACACAAAGCATATGCAGGTAGGATACACATGGAATGAGCACATGAGCTTGCATGCATGCACGCACGCGCACACACAAAGATGGGAACATGCTTCTGAGGCCACATGTGCAGCCCATTAGACAATCCTCTGGCCCCATTATGGAGTTGAGCTGCTTTTCCCAGGCCAAGGAAGAAGAAGAGACATCTGGTCCCCAGAGGTCTGGCCCCTCACCTCCTCCCGGGGGGCGCAGAAGTCTGGCACGGGAATGCGGTGGTAGGTAAGGCCAAGGCAGGTCCCCCGGTGCTGGCTGAAGACCTCCTGCGTGGTCAGGCACTTCTGGAACCTGGGGGTGGTAGGGTTCTTCGTGTTGGGAGCAGGAGCACTCAGGTGGGCCTTCAGCTGGGTCTCCAGGGCCTGGACAGGAGTAGGACATGAAGTAGAGACTACTGAGACAGGCCAGAGAGGCTGGAACCTGCTGAAGCCATGACTAGTGCTACCTTGCCAACCTCAGGGCAGAACCACCCCAGAGGCAGAAAAGCCACAGGAGAATGGGGACATGGAAACACGGAAATAGGAGGCCTGGGCCTCCACAAGAGGAGTGCAGGAGCCTCTGGCTCTCTCCCTCATCCCCCTTCTCTCCCAAGTGCCACCCATGCGGACTGTGCGAAAAGCCAGAAACCCTACCTCCAGCTGCTCAGGGGCCAGGGTCGGTCCGGGTGGCCACAGGCTGTTTATGTGCCCATCACACTCCAATACAACCTCCTCTCTCAGGTTGATCCAGACCACCTGCCGTAGCTTCCTCTTGGCATCAGACAGGTAGGCCAAGATGCCGCCTAGCGCCTGGGGGACGAGGGGCTGTCAGGGCCAGGGCTAGCCTTTCCCCCATCCCCATGTTTGGACCTGGGCTTGGGACCAGCGGGCACCTTGGCACTGGGCTGGGCGGTGCCATAGATAGGCATGCGAGGTACACGCCGGAAGTTGGCTACGTCCATCTCTCTGACAGTGCCGAGCTCATCCGGGGAAACAAGATCATCAGCTTCCTGTAGGGAGGACGGCAAACCTGCAGTTCACAGTTACCAACCAGATCCAGCCTCCATGGGCAAATGAGAAGGGAACAGCATTCTACCGGGTGCAGGGCATGCATGGCTAGACATCTGCAGCCTTCTTAGTGCCCTGGCAGGGATGTGATGACAGGTACCCTCCAGAGAAATCTAGCTCAGACGTCCTACAGTTCAGTGTGATACTGTGTCAAAACCCTGGGCTTTGAGACGAAGAAGAAAGAGCTAAAACACTAGCCGAACATGCCGCCTGAACACAGCACATTCTGCTCACAGGAGGAGCCTATCAGCCCCCTGGCCATACTTCCCCAGCCCTGCAGGAACCTAGAACTCCTTGGCCCAGCCCACTCCACAGATACACAACCACTTACCAGGGAGTCCTTGGCGATCAGGTCCCCCGGGGCCATGGGCCCCACTGAACTCAGCAGCACGGGCAGACGGTACAGCTCAGGGTGGATGCACAGCCATCGACCGAAACTGAGGGCGAAGGCCAGGGGGTACTGCAGCCCGAGGCCAAGAGAGATGGGGCGTTGAGAGATGTGGGGCCATCTTGAACTCTCCCCGCCTATCCATGGAAAAGGGAGCCCCAAAAAGTATCATTGTGGTCCATGGGGAGGAGAACAAGTAGGTGAGGGAGGAAGAGGATGGTTGCTGCCTTGACCAAGATAGAGTCTAGGCCTGGGCTAGGAAGGGAAAGGGGACATGGGAATGGGGCGATGGGGGCAGAAACAACATTCACCTGGACCCCTTCTTGCCCCCTCCCAACCTTCCTCAGGGACCAACACACACAATACCACTCTATTCCCCATCCCATGGGGTCCCTGTTGCTGGGGTGGGAGGATTGGTGCTCCCTCAGCCCCACCTGCTCATGCAGATAGTAGTTAAATAGGATCAGGTAGAAGTATAGCTCCAAGCTCCGCAGTGCCCTCTGCTGGACAGCATGCTGGATACCACTTTCCTAAGGATGGGGGGGGGGGGGAATGAGGTGTCAAACATGGAGCTGCCCCTCAGCTGGGTATAGAAGAGTAGAAGATTCCAGGAGGCACTCTCTAGCTCCATGACAGTTCTGCCAGGCGGGAAGTCCTTCCACGTGTCTATCCCATTTAGCTGTGGTCTATCTGTAGTACTGAACTCTGTGGTGACCACACCGGGAAAGGATGGCTCTGGTGCAGTTGCTGCCTCTCCAGGCCGGTTCCCAGCCCTGGGAGAGGGGACAAGGATGAGGAGTAGACAACATAACTCCCCATGCCATGTTCCATTTCTCCTGTGTTGAAGAAGATGGGGCAAACCTCTTTTCCCTTTCTTGAGGGAGGCCCTCCATTAAGAGCCAGGAACACAAGCCGGGGTGGTGGTGGTACACACCTTTAATCCCAGCACTTGGGAAGCAGAAGCAGATACCTGTGAGATCAAGGCCAGCCTGGTCTATAGAGTGAGTTCCAGGACAGCCAGAGCTACAGAGAGAAACCCTGTCCTGAAAACAAAAAAAAAAAGAACATACACCCACCCACACCCACACCCACACACACACACACACACACACACACACACACAGATGTGACATTCCTGGGGCCTATTGCTACCCCTAATTCACAGGCAGAAAACAGAAATTCCAAATAACAGAGCAACTTCCTCCAAGTCACTCAGCTGACAAATGACAGGACTCACTCTCCCCTGACTCAGGTCCCACCTCCCCCAGGCATTGGGGTATCCGAAAGATCCCATGAGTTCTACTTCCTGACCCTCAAACGTCGCCAGCCAGGTCAGTAACCTAGAAGGCAAGTGAGATCTGAATCGAATTGGCCTGAAAGAAGAGTCAGCACCTACAGTAAAGCTGGACCCCGCCCCTATCTCTGGGAATCTGCACCTCCAGGGGCTACGCAGCTTTTTCTATAGAAAGCTAGAGCCAGTAGGCTAGATGGGCAGCATGGGGGTGGGGGCACAGTCTCAGTCTCACCCCTCTAGGTTGCCATGGCAGCGTGATAGCTCTGCCTGTGACATATGAGTCAACCATAAGACGATGCCAGGGAGAGAGAGATGGAGCATGAGCCCTGGGCTCTGAGCCAAGTTCTGATGACCCTTGACCCCTGGTCTAGACTAGGGGATAATGCTGGGCTCTGATGACCCCCACCGCAGAGGCAAGAGGGGAATCCAGATACTGTCAAAGAGAGATGAAGCTGCTCCAGACAAAAGCAATTACAGGATAGGGGTGTCGACAACTGGGGCCTGTCTGGTGACAGTGGCGGGTGACATTTAGCCCATGCATTTTCCCTCACATGACCCCATTGTCCTACCAGCTAATTTTCATCCCTTGCCCCACTTCACAAAGAGGGCAATGAAGGCTGAAGGCGCAAAGCAGATGCCCAAGTCCCCACCTCTGTAAGTGACACCAGGACCAGGACCAGGCAGATGGATTGGGAGACCTCATTCTTACTCAACAAGCCAATGCAGGTTGACCTGGCCACTAGTTTTTACGTGACAGAGTCATTAAAAATCTTCTCAATGATAAAATGCAAGGATTCACATTGAAACTAGGGGCAGCTGCATAGAGAATCGCAAACACAGTTAAAGAGCATGCTCAGGCAGCGACAGGCGCGAGGTGCCACCGCTTCTGCTGTTCTAACTCCTCAGTTTTCCCACCGCAGAAACACAGCTCTCAAGGACTTTTTTTTTTTTAAGTGTTAAAGAAGGAAAAAATTGTAAGGGCTTAGATTCTTTCCGTACACTGAACACAAACACTGTCGGTCCCCTTTTCTCCCCGGAACTAGGGACGGGGCTGCAAGCCAGCGCGGCCCTGCTCCTGAAGCTGCGGGGTGGACACAGCCCGCTCTTCCCAGGGAAGATCCAGTCGTTTCCTTTGTAGGAAGAGCTCCTGTATGAATCCCCAAAGTACCCCCAGAGACCCCTGAATTAAAGGCTGGATCCTGGGGTGACGCTGTGGGAAGGTGACAGGTTCGTGAAGGGGCAGGGACTAGCAATAGCTCTTTAGGTCACTAGAGATGTGTTCTAAAAAGGGGCTGCGGGATGCTGGCTGCCTCTTCCCATCTTTTTGTCCCCTGGCTGTGTGTGATGTGAAAAGTGTTATCCCACCATAATGTGCTGGCCAGAAGACAGAACCACAGGCGCTGTCTCTCCCCTCCCTCTCTCCCTTTTTCCCCCACCCCCTTCTCCCTACCCCTTTCTCTCTCTGCTGACCTGGAACACACCATCCAGCCCAGGCTGTCCTTGAACTCAGTCCGTGCCCCCCCCCCCCCCCCCCCCCC